AACAGATCGCATTTACATGGATACTTGTCAAAACAGCCATTCTGACATAATGTTCTGTGCATTTGCTCAAGCAGACAAGAAAGAGGACTCAGTTTGGTACTCACGTGCAGTCCGAGCCGAGCACTTTTTGTGTGTGCGCAAAGAAACAATCTGTCACAGCGCGTGAGTACCACATTGAAATCTCGTTGATTTGAATAGCTTAAAACGCTTGAATGTTTAAAATGACAAGGCTTAAAAAACGTGAAAATGATAAAGCAGCACTAGCCTGATCATTCAGATAGGTGATTAGTTAAACTACATTCCCTTAACAGCAGGTAAATTTGCAGGTGAATATAAAATGTTACATACACTACTGGTGAACGAGACAGTGTAATGCAAATATGTCTGAAAGGTCTGACATAAGATGCCACATGAACAATACTGTATGAAGCGTTGTTTGTTTACATCACGTTGCGCCTCGCGTTATGAAAACAATGTTAGGGATACAGTGATCAAAAATCAAGCGTAGCATTAGTTCTGGCAGGTCACGTTAGTCAAGCTCGCATCAGCTGACCTTCAGCTGATCCCCATCTATCTATGGGAATACGACACCTATCTAAGCAGACAGTCGATCGCCAGGAGCAGGGTTGGGCACCCCTGATATAGATATTGTATATGTTGAATATTCATCCAAATTATGGTGAAAACCAAAACATTTGTGTTAAAATAACGTCTGTGTGTTCAAAAAGTAAAGAGATGTTTATATATTACTTAACTGGCCAATGGAGCAAACCAACCCCGTGATGTCACACGCTGTGGTACTGCAAGATGGCAGCGACCTTGCTCCAAAAGCTATAACAAAACATCCTTTTTTTTTCTTTAAAATGGTTACATTAATCGTGTTTGTTATATATTTTTTAATTAAAGTGGAAATCACTTTACTAAATAATGAAAACTTGACTGACTGCTTCCCTTCCACTTTAAATAGGCTATTAGCCTGTAGTGATTATTGTCAACATTACTGTTGTTTTGCAGTTGCTGGAGACAAGGTCAACCGAGACAAACACAGAAAGAGAACTGCGGAGGACAGAAATGGTGGAGCTCAATGTAAGATGAGGAAGATGTTGTTGATGTGGATGCACACAGGATCTTCAGTGAGGAATGGAGTCTGCTGGGACACTTCATTTCATGTATTATTTACTGCATTTGTTTGAAATCTTTCATTCAAAGTAGATGTTGTATTTTTAAATGTTGTTTTCTGTTGAAATTTCCAAATTTTGCTATTTTCCAATAATAAAGACAATCAATCAATTGTTGGTTAAACTATATTTTTTCAATCTGCCCACTTGGTCTGCAACCAATCATATCATTCACCTGTAAGGGTTTTGTGAGGGATATTTTCTAAATGTAACCAATAAAGTCACTTTTCTGTAAGAGTTTTGGGTGGGATAAATCACAAGTTTACCAATGAAATTACTTTTAAGGAAAGCCTTTGTACTCAGTGGCCCAATAGCTGTGTGGTTTAGGGGTGAGTTTAGTTTCAAAGCAACCAATCCAGTTTAACATGAATGACCAAAAGGGAAGGGCACAGTGGCACAAAGGTGCAAATGTTCCCTGAAACTTGCCATGTTCTTTGTTCTTGCCATGGCAACAAATGGCTGTTGCACGGAAGAATACCTCCGTAGCATACATCCGAATTGGTACATTACCCGTGGTATTTCCCGTATCTGGTCCATAATACTCCTGGATTTGTCGGCAATTCTGCGGTGTAGTTTACTGGTCCATATACACCTCTTTTCATGCAGCGCTGATTCAACTAAATAATGTAAACTTGACTGACTGCTTCACTTCCACTTTAAAGGCCAGAAACTTTCCTTTTCCCCTAACTAACAAACATAGACTCGAACATGCACGATTTGTCAACATGCAATTCAGAAACATTAAAACTCATTCAGAACCATAGATCTCATGTAATGGTGTTAAATGTATGTTTAGACATTTTTACTGGAAAACAATACCAAAATAATGATTAGGATAAAGATCTATTTACAGTGCAACTTAGAAATGAGCCAACTAGTGGCTTGTTTATAGATGATGCTACATATTGATCAGGAATAGCTGATCACCAGAAACAAAAAAAAAGTAACACTTTTACAATGTTATCAGATTATAATTCATACTATATGTTCTGCTTTTTCCTTTGTTCAACATTTTCTTTCAGCAAAATTGAATTGAAAAGCAATCTCCTTTGGTGCAATTGCCCTTCCTCTATGTTAATGTATTCAGAGTATATGCAAGGGCCTAGCTACTCATGAGCCCAAGCACAGACCTATTGGCATAAAAACAGAAGAGCCAGTCAACTAATGCTTCTGGATGAGCTCAGCACAGGGCTGCTAATGCAGTCAGATGTGCTATTGCGATGTGGATGGGTCACACAGGTAAGTGAAACATGCTCTGACTACATAAATTTCATCTTTTCTAGGTAGGGAAGTGGAGTACTTCTGGGGGGCTGAACATCACCGAGGTCTCCAGGCAGAACGGCATGAACATCACTGACTCGCTTTCCAACCGCTCACTGGTCATCACCACCATCCTGGTAAGGTCATCGAGAGGCTATGTGTGAAGGAGAGCGCTCTTTCTGTCTCCAGCTTTATCATTCTGCATCTAATTTACTTTTTCTCCAAATTTCACTATCTTTTCTAGTGTGCTTTACCTTGTTTCAGGTCAGCGTATGGGCTGATTTTCAAGTAATGAAACGCACATGCTCCAGATTCTCATTTCCTCTCACAGAAATGCCAAATAGCTCTGTCCCTTTCAGTGTCTCAGTCCTTGAAATAAATTGACCTGGCTGAATCAACAGCACAAGATGTCTTCCCCTGTTTGAAACAAAGTTTGAGGCTCAACCATCTCCCATGACTGCTTTAGTAAGCAGAATAACAATTCTGAATTGAAGACAGTACCAGCTCTCAACACAGTTTGCCTATTTGAAATAGGAAATGTAACTTAGTACAATTAATATTTAAATACATTTTCATTATTTTTATTTTCCTCCTGTACATGGAAGTGAGCATTCGGGTTGCCCCAGGTGCTACTACTTGCAATGTGATTCATCAAAAGTCATAAGTCTTTCTTATGAATTTTGATAAATGAAAAGAAAAAATCTAAATTATGAATATGGAGATATATTAGTTCAAACATGAAAAATTCATGAAACTTTTTTTTTATCTGTTTGCACTGTAACTTGACATGAAGTCTTGAGGCCCGTTCACACCATGGAGGGTAAAATACCTTAGTATAAGCATAAAAATACCATAATATGTTTGCAGATATTTAGGAGACATGCAAAGTTTACATACTTGTTTATCCAAAAAAAAACAAAAACAAACAATGCTACAGCTATGGATCATACTTTGAAATGTGTGATCCATGTCGGAATCTCTGTTTTTGTTTTGGTCTCTGTGACTCCGCCCACTGCCAGTTTACCCAAAAGTATTTCGACACCCCGAGTTGCCAGTGTATTGCAGCCATTGGAAGCCAGCAAATGAACTGTGTTAGAAATTGCATTCTACCTGACCTAAAATTCCTCTGTGTCCATCTAAAAATCTTCATGACCGGAGAAATATTCACTTGTTGCCTTCCACTGTAAAACGCGCTCTTTCCTGATGTGTGTCCTCAAACTGGCAACCCGCATGAGCATTTAAAGAGCTCTAGCATTAAAAGGGGCAGACATGAGAGTAGCTTATAATTTGGTGGCTTTTGGTGGAAGATGGTGCTAGAAAAAAAAACAAAAAAAAAACAATGTTTTATTAAAACACATTTTATACCAACTATTAAAAAATAGCACATACTGAACTTATTTGCGAAATGGTTTAGTGCAGACTGTGGTAGACAATGTCTAGGCATATGTTAAATGGGGAAAAAGCAATATATATGTGGAAGTAACTTATTTTCGGTGAATATGCAAGACTTCCATTTCTTTTGTCTCTATAGGTGAATAACTAGAGGAATTACAAAGAGCAGTAAATGGTAAAACTATTTGCCCTACAAACGACAGTAATGCGTTTATAATTATGATAGTAATTTAACATAACATGATAACAAATATCAGTTTGCAATAGCAAGCAGCATAACAGGTTTTGTTCAACTAAAATACCTGGATACGAATGACACCAAGCTTGTGAATTGTGAATTCAAGTCACAAATGGCTGTGCCCATGCTTAGGTTAAGGTGGATAGAAGTATAACGTATGTTATGTGAAATCAGGACACTGTCAAATAAAATGTTACCATTGTTACTTGCTTAATTTGATTGAACATTATGATGGACAGCCCTAAAAATAAGTAATAAGCTTGAACGGCTAACCCTTGCACAGGTACTTTAAAAATTCAATCAGCACACTTATTGGATAATGCCACTGACCCATTCTAATTTGGTTTCTCTCCATAGGATATTTACTATAGACATGTGGCCTTAACTTATACAAGCAGATGCATGCTGGGTGAAATTATGCTTTACCTAATGTCATTTGCCAGATAATAGCACAAATGACACGTCTTAAAATAAATGTGTGCCCATTCAACACTGCATTCTCACAGATGCCCCAAGGGCTGCATTTATGCATGTCGCAGGAATGTTTTGGGATTTTGTGGTACTGACAGCAGCATCTGTGGACTTATTTTGGACAGGCAGATGAGTTATCAACAGGGATAAACACTGTCATTAAATGTGGATTGAGCTACAAGGCTATAATTATGAGTTAAGGTCTTGATAGGATATAATCAGAGATTTTCTAGTACCATGCAGTGGCCCTGGGTATTGTTATCTTAAAATAGTAACCACATATTTATTTATTTATTTATAAGGCATTACATAGGGGTATTGAATAAGGGTCACTTTAAAGTGACGCGATTTTGAATACAAATGAAGAATAACGCATCACATATAACACTTATGACAAATAGAAATTATGATGTAACATCCTGAAGGCTCACTGACAACAACTTCTTTCAGAAAAAAATGAAAAAAAATGCAAACAGGTGCTGAGATTGCCTACGTCTAATTTGTGGACCTTGGAATATAATATGATCATATGATTGCATCAGCTGACAATTAAGAAGCCCAAAACGTTTGTCTAATGTCATCGCTCAAATGATGGAGGCATCATATAACACTTACTTGCTATGATTTAACAGATTGTTTCATACTTCAGTCTATGTAACTGGTTAATTTCTGTCACTGCTCATACAGGAAAAGAGGGAGAAGCTATTAAAAGAAAAAAAAAAAAAAACCTTAGGGAATTTTACAGATTGGGGGCTTAGAACAGATGGTAACTGTTATAGTTGATTTTTTTTTTTTGGCCACACAAACTTTTTGATCGACATAACTTGTACAGCGTTTTGTTTCATTCTACATCCATTCAATCCATGGCTCATGGTTTCATCTAAAACAGGCTGACACCTAAAAAGTCTTAAAAAGTCAAAATGTTTTATATTAAAAATATATAAATAACTTTATTTTCTGATTAGATGTGTTGCATGTCAACAATTTATGATACCTACATATAGCTTAATTGTTCTTATATATTTGAATGGGGACTGGGGCTAGTTGTCACACTTTTAACTCCAATGAATATTCCCCAGTCAGTGCATTTTTAAAGTTTTTTTTTATAGGCACATATTAAAGATGCTTATATTATAGATACTTATTAGATGCGATGTTATTGACAGACAAATGTAGCGTCTGGACCAATCAAAAACACAATTTTTCATTTGATTTAACAAATCAGTTATTCATTTGATTAACAAGTCGTCACAGACCCCTCACCCAATAGACTGGGCGCCAGGATGACTGCGAATGACCACAGGCCACTGGTTACCATGGCAACCCCGACACCTTTGCTAAGACCAGAGCCATTTACGACCTGATGGAATGTGAGTAGGGAAAATCACTGCATGTTCCATAGCAAGAGGCACAATGCACAGTAGAAATGGACTTTTCTACTAATTAATCCATAGGAAAACCTTTCTTTGAATGAACACACATAGCCTTCAGGTCATCGTGTATGTTGTCTTTGAGATTTTATACTGTTTTATGCAGGCTTGTGATGGAAACACTCATTCCTGTCATCCTACATATATGTAAAACTACCATGTTTAGTATCTATGAATTAGTCTTCTGATGATCTAAACGAGAGTGTACATTATATGTTGGTACATAGGCAATATATTAGTGTCCTGAGAATCTTTAGTAATTTCGATTCAAGTTCCATATGCAAATTACCATGCTTCCACACAAAGAGTCATAAAACTCCCCAGTATTTCCAAACTCCCACTTGGGATTTCCGTCTTTCTCATTGGACAAGACCCTTTTGAGAGGCGTGAATCTTCCGAGACCTTAAAAAGGCCTCACACCAGGGACCCGCCCAGAGTCGGTGGTTTGGTTGAATTCTGAGAAGATGAAAATGTGAGCTACAACGCTCCCGGACACCCTAAGTTTTGTGCCAGGCCTTCGGCCTTGACTTTTCCATTCACCAAGATTCTCTGAC